TTTGCAATCGCTTGTTATGCATCAGAGAGTTGGACAATGACTAGGGAAGATAGAAGGAGAATTGATGCCTTTGAGCTGTGGTGCTGGAGAAAAGTATTGAATGTACCATGGACTGCCAAGAAAACAAATAGATTTATCCTGGAGAGGGTTAAACTAGCTACTCCTTGGAGGCAAGGATTCTGGGGCTTCGCCTGACATACTTTGGACATGTTGTAAGGAGAGACAGGTCCTTGAAGAGGGACATCATGCTTCGTAAGGTGGAGGGACAGCGCAGGAGGGGAAGACCCTCTATGAGTTGGATTGATTCAGTGACTGGGGTAATTGGGATGGGTGTGTCAGAGGCTATGCGATTGGCACTGGATACAGCAGGGTTTAGGGCTGTTGTACATAGGGTCGCTATGAGTCGCAAACGACTCGACGGCACATAACAACAACAACAACAACATATGTCTTCAGTTCAAGATTTTCATTCTCTTTTCACTGGCACCAACCCATCATCCTGTGGCAGCCCTGCTCCAGTGTAAGGAAAGTTCCTTAGAGTGTGGCCCATTACACCTTTTATTTCACAAGAGGGAACTCACTGCCTTCCAGTCTGAACAAACTCATAGTTGACTGGTTTTTCAGGAAGCTGTAAATTGCACAGGAGGAGATTGCCCATCTCCACCCTGTGGGGCCACTGGTGGATTTGAACCACCAGAGAGGGGCTGCCTTTGGGTTAGCAGTATAATTCCCCAGGGAGCTCCCCTCACAAGAGACAAGAGAGGCCACCAGAGTTCCCCTCACAAGAGACAGAAGAGGAGGAAAGCAGTCTGAGGGAGCAAGCTCCTTCATCCCACCAAGAAGCAACGGCCAGGAGTGGAGTCCCTGACTGTAGACCCTGACCCCTGTGCTGGGAGGCTCCTTGACACAGGAAAGGCCAAGACACTGGAGATCCCTAAAAAACACCAGGCCAAGATGTTGGAGGAAACAAGGAACTTCCTCCAGAGCTGAGAGAGAGAAAGCCGGACTCACAAGCCTGAATTTGGATTTTAGCCACCTAAATGGTGAAAAAATAGATTTCTGTTTGCTAAAGCCACCTCCTAGTGGTATCTCTGTTATTTTGGTAATATTGGTAAAATCTGTAATATTGGTATTTCAGCATGAAAGAACCAAGTCAGAATCCAAGCCTGACAAGAAACAATGAAAGTTACCTTGAAGTCAGATCTGCCTGCCTTTGAATTTCAGAGTATAATTAAATGGTGCAGCCACATTGTGTAACTAACTCCTCTGAGCCTGAGTCTCCTCATCTGTGGAAAACTCTTCAAGCAGAGTTGCCAAGCGACTCCCCTTTCCCTCCTCTTTTTACCATTTCTGCTTGGGATGACTCCATTTCAGGTGGAGGTAAAGGGGGCTGACACCTAGAACTAGTCCCTGGAGGCCACAGCCCAAAAGAGGCCACCAGCTGTGGGAGGAGAGGCAGGAGCCAGCGCTCAGCAAGCCTCAGCACTGACTGACAAGCAAGAAGCCTGGCAAGTCCTGGGTCCCAAGTGACAAAGCACTCATGGATAGCACCAAAGCCTGTGATGGAAGGACTGCATGAGGGCAGGGCCTGTCAACTCCCCAGTGTGTATGCCAAGAAGTTCCAGAGAGACAGTGCATTTGCAGGGAGCTGAGGGAGCCTCCATTTGGACACTAGACATGGTGAGAGGAGATCAGAAAGAGAACAGGCCCCACAGCCCAGTGCACAGGTGTGCTTTCTTCAGAGGCCGCCTGGCTGACTGAAGTCCTGCAGCTGAGGAAAAAGCAAGGCCCAGGCCAGATGTGATGGGACCCATAGGTGGACCCCATAGCAATGAGGTGGTAAGTCGTAAGGGGTATAAGTGTATCTTGTGAATTGTAGGAGAGTTGATGGGTCTGTGGTAAACTGTGGGGATGAGGGTTTATCACACGATGAACTCTGGGACATGTGAGTCTATCTTGATGTGGGCTGTGGAAGGTGGGAGGTGGACATACCTTGTGGTGAATACCCCACAGTGAGGTATGTGAGGGGTGTGGATAAATCTTGAGGCGAACTGTGGGTGGGGTAAGAGTTGTAGGTGTAGGGGATGTATCTTGTAAACTTAAGGAATGTGGATACATGCCTAGAAATCTGTGGATGCAGCTCTGCCCATAGCCGTTTCATAGCCCCATGGGGAAGAGTGTGCAGTGAAGACCTTCGCTCTTACCTAGCAGGTCAGCTCCCTCATCCACATCCCCGATGACCTCTGACCCAGCAGTGGACAGCTCGTGGTACAAGGAGTCAGTATTGATGCCAAAAGCCTTGTTCACAATACCCTGGGTGGGACTGAGGGAGGGATTGGAGCAGTTAGAGAGCAGAGCCCACTGGGATGTCACATCCTCCTATCCCTGAGCCCACCACCCTGCAGGCCAGCACTGCTCTACTGGAGGGAAGTCAGGCCCAACTCAATGTTCCCCCACCCAAGCAGTGGGAAGGTGTGCCAGGGACTCCCTCCACCCAGGGATACCAGAGACCCTCTCCACTTGGGAATACCCAGTACAATATCCTCTCCATCCGGGAATCCTGTCCAACCCAGGGCCCTCTATACCTAGGGACTACTAAGGATACCTCTACCCTGGGATACCTCAGTATCCTATCTACTTGGGGGCCTTGTCTATACCTGGGGAGCATCAGGGACCCTCCATCCAGAGCCATCAAAGGCCTCTCCCTCTTGGGGACACTGGGAACTCTCTATACTACACGCCTCCACCCAGGGACCAGGGACAGACCTGTTGCCAGTTCGGTCCAGACGTGGCTCTTGGCACATGTCCAGTTCAGGGGTGGAGTCTATGATGTCCTGGACATCAGACCACTCGTCGCTGCTGCCCATCCCTGGGGACACAGCATGGTTATTTAGGACCGTCTATGGTGGCCCTCCACCACTAGAGTTGCCCCTGCCAGGGGGTGGTCATAAGGAGTCATCCTCAGTAGCCAGGCTGTCACGGCTGCCTAGACCCATGGGACAGGAGAGGGTGCTGACTGGTGCAACAGGACACTTGGCAGTTGCCATAATCCTGCTCTGCACAAGTGGCTGGCCTGGGATTCCTTCTTAGAGATGCCAGTTGGAGAGGCAGTGGAGGGCAGGAAGGGGTGGCTGGAATTAGGTGGAGGGAAGGCTGGGGGAGTGGAGGAAGGTGGTAGGGGCTTTAGGGAAGGAAGGCTGTGGTGGGGAGATTTTAGCGGTGGGTGAAAGGCAACAGGTGAACATGTGGGGCTGGTGGCGGGGCACACCTATGCTGACATTGCGCATCTCCTGTGTGACCTGCACCTCCATGTTGCGGCTGTTGCGCTTCTCGCGAGCCCGCTTGCCACTCTTGGTGCTGCCGCCGTAGTCACCCAGGGGCTCCAGGCTCTCGTTGAGGGGCGTCACTGTGGCCGAGGGCACCGAGGAGGTGGGCGTGTTGGACTTGGTGCCGGTGGTGCTGGGTGTGGCGGCCGCTGAGGACTGGCCCGATTCAGACATCTCATTGTGGGGACACTGGGACAAGCACAAGAAGGACTCGTCGCAGCATCTCCTCAGCAGCTAGTCTGTCCATAGGAGGCCACATGGGGTCATCACAGCCACAGCCACCTATGCCTGGGACCCAGAATCCTTGCTACTGGCAAAGGAGGTGTCTAGAAGGGGTCTGTCAGGCCCCGTCACTCTGGCTTTCCAGAAGCAGCTGCCACCTGACGTGGCTTTGGGCTACTGTGAACTCCACAGGTCGAACAGAGGCCACAGAGTGAGCAGGGTGGCCTCTATGGTCCTTGTGCTGAGCACCTGGACAGAGGATGCTGGACATGACTGACCATCACCATGCCAACCACGGCCACCTAGCTCTGCCACCATCACCATAACCATCACTCTCCATGACAATCACAAAACTGCCATGGAAAAGGGAGCAGCCCTGATGTAGCCACGATTTTTGAATGGCATCAGCCATGACATCACTAGGGAGGAAGGCTACTTTCTGAGCAGATGCTGATGCAAAACCCATGGCTCCTGCCAAGGGAGGGGCTGCCCTAAATCAGGGCAGCTTCCGGTACTCAGCTGTCAGCACAGCCAATGCAGGCCTGCTCCTTGCTGGGCCATCTCTAATGTAGGCCCTGCCCTAGTCCCCTGCTCTCTGTGGACACAGATGCTGGCTCCAGCCTATGGTCTAACCTCAATCTGAACCAGGAATGCGGGAGAACCTCCTCTCTGTCAGGAAGGGTGTGGGAGCAGCTAGGACCAACTCCTAGGACATGTGGCTGCATCATAGCAGCCAGACTTCAGACTTCCCAATGCAAAGGACGGATTCAGGTCAGTCCTCTCCCATAGCTGGGACTGCTGACCCGTGTGGGCACTGAAGGGGATGAACAGCATGGTCCAGGCTTCGAGGCCTGTGGTTTCCTCCCACCCCATGGTCACTACCACACTCTAGGCAGACAGCCCTCATCCTGGGCATGGGCTGACTTTTGGAAGCTTCGGTCTGGCTCCATTCATGGCCAGACTCCAGCAGCACTGCCTCAGGGGACACTTGGCTGACACAGTCAGGGTAGATGTACCCACGTTTGGTAGGCAGGGGCCAAGGATGCCAGTGAGCAGCCTGCAGCACCAAGATGGCCCTAGATAACCGCTCTGAGCCTGCACCTTGCTTCACAGGAAGAAGCTCTGCATAAACGTTGGGTTTGTGCGGACAGCTCACACCCCATTAGAAAGGGGTGGAACCCCTTTCCTCTTCATGCCCAGCACCTCAGCTGACCAGGTGAACTCACGCTGATTCATGCCTCCCTAGTCATGTGCCCACAGCCTTTGCCTGACCCCATCCATGGTTCATAGGGTATGGCCCTCTGCTGCCACATGAGGAAGTACAGGAGGCATGAGGAGCGTTGTTAAGTAAAGAGGGGCCTACATCTGGAAGTGGACAGCTTCTAGGCCTTTCCTAACAGCTTCATCCCCCAGCCAGCTCAAAAGGAGCTAACTGGGGGCTGTGGGTGCTGAGCGGGCCTGGGAGGAGCTGAGGGGACTTCTGAGGTGTGATAGCACATCCCTTGACACCTTAATGCTGTCTTCCTACAGGGCCACTACTTACCCTTAGGATACTGTCCCTGGCCACCACTTGCCCACGGGACACTGCCCTTGGCCACCACTTACCCACGGGACACTGCCCCTGGCCACCACTTACCTACAGGCAAACCTCTCAACCTGCTAAACATCAACGGGAGCAGTGACCTCCAAATGCAAAGAACCCAAATCTTAGCGGTCATTCCTCACCATGAGTAGCCACAACTGTTTGGTTAAAACACTGAAAATACAGTACACAAAAACAAAACACAACACAACAGAATGATGAACGACAAAACAAAATTAAGAAATTAGAAAAACTTTAAAATCTAAGGCATGAAATAAAAACTTAAACGTGATCATTAAACAAAAAATCCAAGTCAAATGAAACACATGAGCTAAAACATAAAAGAATACAGTTTTGTAAGATGACTCTTTTCAGATAAGCGTGGAAGGGAGAAAAAAAAAGAGTAAGCAGAGAAAAACAAAGGGGAAGAGAGGAGGTGGTGACAGGATGTCCACTGCATGTGGGCAGGAGGCCATCAGGCCAGACCCAGAGAGGCCAGGTGGGCTCCCTGCACTCATGGAGGTTCTTCAAACAATAATGACATAGACCTTTCTCACAGGCTTCATCATGTAAGTGCATCTGAGTGTGCAAACACACACTGAGAATGTGTGTGTGATACCACATGAGCTGTGAGACGATTTGTGAGCACTGTATGTGAACAAGTACAAGTGAGTGTGAACACGAATATGCATGAGTAAGCAAATGAGCATGTGAGCATGAGTGAGTGTACAAGTGCATGTGTATGTGAGTGAGCGTGTGGCCATCTGCCTCAGACGACGCAGCCAGGTCAACCGCCCGAGCACCGGCTCCCAGAGGCCCACTGCCTCCACACTAGCCCCCAAGTGCTGTCCAATAACTGCTGGGTGAGGGGCTGGGATGTCCACAGACTTGCATACCCAGAGAACAGCAGATCAGGGTCACTTTCTGACAAGAGCTGCGGGTGGTAAGACCCTCCATGAGGCTGAGGACATTCACACACAGTGGGGGGAGGACTGAAGCTTCCAGAGAACTTCCCCAACTACAGGCCTACAGGTTCGTGTTTCCTGCTGTGTGTGCTGTCACCACCACAGGAACTGGCGGACGGAGACCACCCCAGGACAGCACGTGCCTCAGCCCTGCCTTCCTTGCCACTGTCTCTCCACACCAGGGACCTCTGCTTACAGTTCACACCTATGGGGTTCCACCCTCAAGCTCAGGCATGGAGAAGCTGTCACCTCAGAAGAGCAGACAGGACAGAGGAAGAGGGAGAAGGACCCTCAGTTCCCTGGACTGGGCACCTCCCAGAAAGGACAGGCCAATGCACAAGAGCACGTCCCCCAGGCTGAAGACACTGCATTCGGAGTACGGTCAGGCAGCGGGCATCCTGGCTGCAGGAGACACTGCCTGGGTCAGAAGGGCCCATGCAGGGACAGCAGTCCTCTACCCTGCCCTCCTTGCCCACCTCGGGCAAAGGACATGCATGGAGCGGGCCTGCCTGACGAGCAGTGGAGGCTGGTGGCAAGGAAGCCCTCGCCCGCAGCACGGCTACGAAACCTGGTAGCTGGAGCTGGCTGGCAGCTGGCCGCGGTCACTCGGGTGCCAGTGGTCCGTTGCAGGTGTGAGCTTGCCCCCCATCTGTGCACGTACCATGCCGTCGGCCAGGGGGAAGACATTCAGTGAGGTGGGGCGTTCCTTCCTGCTGGGGTGTGGGGAGAGAGGATGTGGGCGTTAGACAGTGGCAAGACAGACCCCATATCTTTCTGGATGTCCAGACACTAACACGGTGCACACAAGCTCACCATGTAGGTCAGGAGCCAGGACAGAGGGGGTGAGGCCTCCTGTGAGGGCCCCCTCCCAGTCTTTCTCAGAGAAAGGCTCACAGTCAAAGGAGCAGCTTCTATTGAGGTGAGGGCACACTTGTCCCTGTAGTTTGTGTCCCTTTGAAATAGACACCTGCTCACATAACTCAAATTCACTGCTGTCAAGTTGGAGCTGACCCTCTAGCAGGTTTCTGGGGCTCTCAATCACATGGGAGGAGCCTGCCTGCCTTTCTCCTGCAGAGTGGCTGATGGATTCAAACCAGCGGAGGGGCCACCCTGGGGTTAGCGGCGTGACTTCCTACAGATGACGTCACCAGAGGAGGCCAAGGGAGCCCTGGGCACAGCAGAGGGTGAGGTGCTTGGCTGTGAACTGAAAGAACCTACTGGCCACTCTTCAGAGCAAAGATGAGGCAGTCTGATCCTCTAATTAAAACCATGGGACCCGACTATGCAGGGCCATGGAGAGTTGGCATGGACTGGACAGCAGGGGGACTGTTGCGAGGAGGTCAGTAGGAGCATGCAGCCATGATGAGAGCTCTCCACACTCAGCTGCAGAACCTTCAGAAAGAGTTTCCACTCAGCTGGTCTGACACTTCATGAGCGCTGAAATTAAGGAGCCAGATGTCAGAGGACTGGGTGGGGTCTCAGTCAGGGACATCTGGGGGGCTGCGAAGGTGATGGTGTAGATGATCCAAGAGGGACAGTGGGTGGGACCTCCCATCTAGACCCCTATGCAGTGTGAGGGTGCCGCTCCTGGAACAGGCCCCAGCTCAGGGGTTGGCCATGGCAAAAACAGGACCTGCAGGGAAGGGTGTGCTTCCCACTGCCCAGACATTGGCTGCATTCCTCAGGCAGAGTTGTGGCTGAGAGAGCCTTGGCCACTGTGGGGTGCTCAGATGGACTTCTTTGGGGTGTTCTGTGGTAGGATCCTCTGTGAGGTCTTTTCTGAGGTCCTCTGTGAAATCCTGTGTGGGAGCATCTGTGGAATGGTCCTGTGAGGAGCCTCTCTGGTCATCACATACCTCACCCTATATAAGGTACTTTATGAGACCTTGTGGGACCCTCTGTGGTCTTCTCTGAGGTCCTCTGTGGAGTATTCTGTCTGATCCTCTACAGTGGGGTGCTTTGTGATAGGGTCTTCCATGGTAGGGTCTTCTGTGGGAGGATTCTCTGTGAGGATTTTCTTTGGTGGATCCTCTGTGGTAAGGTCTTATTTGAGGTCCTCTTGGATCTTCTATGCGTGAAGTCCTCTGGGGGATCCTCTGAAGGGGTGTCCTATGTGAGGGTCCTCTGCAGGGGGATTTCTGTGGAATCCTTGGGGATTCTTCTGGGGGACTCTGGGGGGTGGTTTTCTGGTGTTTTATCTGTAGGGGTGTTGTCTGTGGGCTCCTTTGGGGGACTTCTGGAGGATTTTCTGTAGAGGGTTCTGAGTGTCCTTTGCAAAATCCTCCATGAGGTGCTCAGCATGGATCATCATCTAGTTTGGGTGAAGGGCTTGTTCCATATACTTTATACAGGGGATCATGCAACATCAGTCTTTTTTGTGATTGACATATTTCACTCAGAAACATTTTCTCAAGGTTCATTCACACTGTAGCATGAATTCAATCTTTATGCTGATTATTATTTGATTAGGTGGATGGGTCACTCTGTGTTTATCCATCATATAGTGATGACTGGGGTGATTGGAAGTGTTGTATGCATGTATTTGAGTTCCTGCTTTCACATACCCAGGAGCGGAATTGCTAAGCAGCATGGTGAGTCTGTGCCTAACTTGTGGAGAAACTGCCACCCTCCTTCTCCACTGCCACATGCGGATTACCTTTCCCCACATCCTCACTCATCAGTCCTGTGCTTCCTGAACTTAAAGATGCTTCGACTGTAGGAGTGACATCACTGTCTAAAGGCTCCGAATCTGCTGATGCTTCTGGGCCTTACTATTTGAGCTCCACCTAAGCTGATCTCCAAAGAAGTCAGTGTCCACAGCAGCCTAGCCTCATAGTGGGCAAGGTCCACCAGGGAGGTGAGCACAGCCAGGACTTTGCAAGACACGATACAGACAATTCCAGTCCAGGCTTCTCGTCCACCTCTCCGTCACTGGCTACTGTGGGGTTCTCCATCCCTGATGGACAACTGTCATCATATCTTGGTGTCATCACACCAAGCAGGTAAACCTCACAAGTGTTGTCTCAAGTGTCTTCTCCCCACAAGAGGAGAAACATTTCTGGGTTGCTGGTCTCAATGGTGGCTGACTGGTCCCCAAGTTTGGGGAGTTAGCTGCTCTCCTTTGACTATAATCTCTGCTATACACAGGAGTCCTGTCTCTGTTTCCTCCTACAAGACCATATGCGATGCTGTGCCTGGCCAAGGATCCCACAACAGGACTGTGTGACACTGACCAGCCATGTATGATGTCATGCCTGGCCGAGGCATCCCACCATAGAACAGTATATAACAGCATGACCAGCCGTTTGTGATTTCCTACCTGGTCAAGGGTCCCAAAACGGGATCATGTGTGAAACCATGCCCAGCCATGTGTGATTGTGCAGAGCTTAAACCAGATCACGAGAGGGTCCTCCAAAGGCCCATGCATATGTGAGGCTCTTCCCATATGACTGTATGTGAGGCTGTGCCCAGGCCACTTGAGGGTGGCATATGGGGCCAGTCCCAGGCGAGGAGAGGCCATTCTCTAGTTTCACTGCTGTGGCATCCCACCCAGTGGCCTCTTCAAGGACTCACCAGGCAACCAAGTGCCACAGGCTAGTAATTAGTCAGATGAGAGGACATCACCCTAGGGACCCCGTTGCCCCTGCCCCTGTGGCTGTCAGAGATGCCATGGCCCCATGAGTAGTGGGCGCAGTTTACCTTTTCCTCCACGACTGGCGAGGGCTGCAGGCAGGACACCACGACAGGGTCCAGAGAGACAGCACAGGGAGCAAGATGAGAAAACACCATTAGAGACGCAGGTGGAGCTCACGTCTGCTCATGTGTGCACATGGAGGGATGGGCATGCAGTGATGCAGACACAGGCACCACCTGTAGTGTCAACAGAGGTGACAACATGGTGATGACTACACAGCACACACAACTCACAGATTAGCACGCAGTCAGCACATCACCACATCCTGTGCAGGTTGGGGGAGTCACATGCATGCAGGGACACAGAGCACGCCATGGTCCCATGTGGAGACATAGAGCACATTGTCGCCACATAAGGAAACACAGCCCTCTGTAGGCATACATGAGGATACAGCCACGCTGTGATCACACTCAGGGACACAGAGCACACTGTGGTCAGTGGCTGCATGTGGAGACACAGCACTCCGTGGCCACATGCAGGGACACAGAGCATGTTGTGCTCATACACCACGGTCACACTCACGGACACAGAGCACGCCATGATCACACACTGGGACAGAGAGCACGCTGTGGCCACACGTGGAGACAAAGCACACCATGGTCACACACAGGGACTGAGAGCACATCAGTCATACATCAGGACACAGAGCACACCATGGTCACATATGGGGATGGAAAGCACACTGGGATCATACACAGGGACACAGCATACTGTAGTCACACATGAGGACACAGAACATGCTGTGGTCAAACATGGGGACACAGAGCACACCCCCTACACTGAAGGGTTCACACACTCTCTCCACAACACATGGGCCCAGCCAGCAGTGGAGGAAAAGCCAGCTGGTTCTCAGCAACCGACCAGGGCCTGTGGGTAGGCAGGAGTCTGCTTCCAGACAGACATCATGCCACATGTTTCCTCCCAGGACAAAGGATGAAGCGTCCCCCACCTGAATCAGTCCCACAAGGGCCTAGGCGGCTGCTTCTACCCATCCCTCGGCCAAAGGAATCTGCCTTTACCATCCTAGTGAACATGGCTGCAGCAGACACAGGCCCACGGCTCAGGCAGTGAGGGGACCATGCAAGCACTGTGACCACTGCTACTTCTCAGTCTGTCCACAGTGACCCATGGGAGCTAATAGAACAGGGACTTTTCTGTGGCCACTTGGCCAGGGCATTCCTCCATGGCACAGCACCCCAGTGAAGGCCAGTTTGGACCAGGGCTCCCAGTTATAGCTCATGAGTTTCTCCACAGGACAGGCAGTGAAGGCCGATCTCCTCAGAAAGACAGGGGCCACTGTGTTTGGTGAGCCAGCTCTGCCAGGGGCCAGATCTGCTGGCTAATACTGCTGCTGCACATGGGTGGGCAGGCCCATCTGTCTATACAGACAAGCAGGGGAGGCAGGTGAAGGTCTGACTAGGGCCGGCAAGAGAAGAGCCCAGATCCACTAAGGAGGGAACACACCAAGGTCCCCACATCAGCAAGTCTGATTCATGCTGTGATGCTGACTGGCAGGAACACTGTGGAAGCAGAGTCCTCCCTGGTATACTGATTCGCCCCTTCCATCAGAGGCTCTGTCCTTAGGCACTTCCTTCCTTGGGGCCTAGGACCAAGTATTTTCCACTGCCCACAGGCCTGAGCCCAGAGACCACACCACCTACTTCCCTGTGTGTAGCCCTATGGCCTTCAATGGACCCCCCTCCCGCAAGGATGGCTTCCAGAATGGCCAGTGGGGAGCTAGCCAGAGGCCTTGGATGCCACTGTCCCTGATCAGCGAGCCAGCACTCAGTAGTGGTCAGTTCAGGCCCATCCTTCACCAATCTCTGCTCAGCTCATAGAGGTTCAAATTGGGGTTAGTGTTTGAGTTCCACTGGGCTAAGTGGGGCTTCACAGTGCTGAGAACACCTCCTGGCCTGATAAGTAAAGCTTCCCGATCCATGTTCTCCATCTTGGAGTTTCTTCCAAAAAACACTGGTGGCATAATGGCTGCTACTCAGAAGGTTGGTGGTTCAAGCCCACCAGCCCCTCTGAGAAAGAAAGGTGAGACAGTTCACTCCCATAAAGATGAACAGCTTCAGAAATTCTGTGGGCAGGCCGGGCCGTAGTCCTCTGTCTCTTAGGGTGAGTGTGGTGGTCCTCTGTCCCCCAGGGTGTGGAGGAGTGGTCCTCTGTCCCTCAGGGTGCGGGGCAGTGATCTTCTGTCCCCAGGGTGTGGAGCATGGTTCTCTGTCCCCTAGAGTGTGGGATAGTGGTCCTCTGTCCCCTAGGGTGTAGGATGGTGGTCCTCTGTCCCCCAGGGTGGGTGCAGTGGTCCTCCATAATCCACCAGTGGCTTTTATTCAGCTGAGTGTCTCAACACAGAAATGCACCTTCTACACAGGGTTTCACAGCTCACAGAACCCAGTCATGATTGACCTATTACCTCACTGGACTCTCACAAGGACTCTAGGGTAAAACTTAGGGCCTGGAATCACTCTTCCCCAGCACACCGCCTTCATAGCACCAAAGCATCCACAGCAGTTCTGGTCTGATTCCCCAGGAGGAAGTATCCACAAGCAGTGGTCTCCTGCCCACCCTTCTTGAATTCTGTTTGGCCTTCACCTATGCCTTGGATTGTATTTCAATCCAAGGATTCTCAAGGACATGAACTGAACAAATTTGCCCACTGTGGGGGTGGGAGGGAGGGGAGGCTGGCGCAGGTCCACTCCACCAAGAAGGGTTGCTGTCAGCACCAGCTCTTTTGTGCTGGGCCCAGAATTCCCACCACAGACTCCTCCTCCCCAGGAGGCCATGGAGCCGGGGGACCTCGTGCTCACAGCCATCTGTCACTCTCCCTCCTTGACTGTGGCTCTTCTGATTCCCAGTTAATAGAAGGGCACAGAAGACACAGAAGGAGCTGGACCTGGAAGGTTCTCTCCAGGTAAAGGCAGTCTGAGCTGGGAATGAAACAGGGCCCGAGCTCCCTCGTCACCCTCCCCACACCATGCCCAGAGGTGTGGCCCCCACTCAGCATCCTGGAGTTGGCATGTGAAGGGCATCTACCACCTTCCTGGGAGGAAGTGAGTGCATGAGGGCTCTGGGAGAACCATACACACATGTACACCAGCTTGACCCTCTTCTTGAGGTTGGAAAGTTCCAGAAAGAAAGCCTGTTCATTCACCTGTCCCCAGGGACAGCCTGCCAGGAGCACAGCTGTGGCTGAACTAGCACTGTCCTCTCTCCAGTAGTGCTACCCTCCAGTAGTGCTGCACCCCAACCCCGCCAACACCCTCTTTGGCGCACCTCCTCCCGGGCAGGCTGCCCTCCGTCTGGCTGTTGGTGCCGACCTGCTGCAGCTTGGCCCTCTCGATGTGCTCCACGTACGTCTGGATCATCTGTGAGGAGGGACCACGTCAACCACCATGGGTATCATGGCAAAAGCATGCCTTGAGGCTCGGCTGAGACAGGCTGCCTGGCTCTCCCAAGGCTTCAGCCTGGCAAACCCCATACCTCTGTGTGTCGCTGGTGCAGGGCGTTGTACTCTTTCTTCATCTCTGACTCCCGCTCCTCCAACCTGGAAACTGAAAGACAATCAAACTGGTCAGTCCCCACCTCCTTGGGGACATGGGCAGAGGACATATATGGTTCTGTGGTGGGCCAGCTGCATCACATCAGTGCAATGATAAGCATCTGTATGCACCTCTAGGGACTGAGGGTCATGGCTGCTCTCTACCACGCAGATGGAATAGTAGCTCAACAGCCTCAACCAACTGGCCTTCAAACTCTGACTGATGACAGAGATGGGGACAGGCCCACAGTATCAACCTGGACTGAGTCTTACTTTTTAGACACAAGGGTAGCTGTCATCCATAGTCTATAATGGATTAAATTGTGTTGCCCCAGAATATGTGTTGTTGAGATGACGCTTACGACATTGTGGGGACTGTGATCAGAGGCATGAAACAAAAATAGATGTGAGGAGAATCTCTGGTGGCCTAGTGGGAAGAAGCTGTGCTGCAATCCCAAAGCACGCAGTTCGAATCCACCAGATGCTCTGCTGGAGAAGGAGGGGATATCTCCATATCTCCTGTACCAGTTGGATCTGAGTCAATGGTTTACAACAAGAAAAATAAAAAAGGATGTGAATTGTTGAATGGAAAATTTATTTGATCTGTAGACTTTTACCTAAATTGAAATAAAATTTAAAAATAAAAAGTATTAGAGAAATGATTCTTCAGTAATTTGAATTCTATAGTTTTAATAAATCAAAATGGCAGAATATGGGGGAAATGTGTGTCTATGTGGTGTAAATGCTGATTTCAATGCCAATCATTAAAATCCCATTTGAGAATGGGCTGTCTTTGTTATGGTAATGAGAGAGGAACAGCATAAGCTGTGTTTTGAGTCAATTTCTTTGTTGTTAGACACCACTGAATAGATTCTGACCAACAGGGACACAATAAAAGACTGAAAACAGATGAAATAATTTACAGGATAGATATAAAAAGACCAGATTAGGACAAGAAATTAGCAGAGATGAGAGAAGAAAGAAGTCAATACCAGGAGAAACCCAGGATCACAAGCCCATAGGGATCTTCCTCCAGCACTGACACAGAGAGCGAGGAGGCAGGGGGAGAGCGAAAGAAGAGAGCCCCTTTTCCTAAAGCTGACAACCTGAACTCAGGCTCCTAAACGGAGACATGAAATTAGTTTGTTAAAGATGCCCTTCTGGTGGCTATTGGTGGTATTTCTATTACAGCACATGAAAGCAAAGCCCCAAGCCTTGGGCATTTTAGCATATTTAGGCTGGTTGACCTGGGTATGACTTATACTCATTTTGCATTTGATTCCATTTTTTCCTTCTACTTTTTACCCACAACTACACTTCTGTAAAACTTCAGGGATTGTGGTTTGTATTGCAGTAAACTACTGGTCTATGCCCTGCTTTACACAACTGTTTCTGGGAAGGAATGCTTCTACAGGTCCCTGCAAGATGACTTCTGTGAAACGTTTCTCTCTGCCAAACCCAAAATGTCTGAAGTATAGAAAACCTGGTTATTTTGAAAAGAGTGTAGTCTTTCAATGGAAAGTTCTAGGGTCTCATGCTAACCTTATGATTAATTTCACAAAGCTCTGCTACTCAGAAAAGCATCTATGAGTTCCTGTTTGTTGTTTTGTTTTGTTTTTTAATTTAAGCTATCCCCCACCTCCCACTCTCACTACCATGCTGTCAGTTCAAATTGTGTGTCGGTTCCTCAGAACCATGGTCTGTTCTCACCCCTGACTCTGGATTTGTTCCTACAGTATGTAGTGCAAGAGGTGGGATATGGAAGGTACAGTCCTTTTAACAACGACCAGGATGTGAAGGATGGGACTCTGGTACTAGACAAACCAAAAAGTCTAGCTGCCTCCATGAACACTTTTATTTTTATCAACAATAGTTTTTGAGATGATGGTCTGGATGATGTGCATTTTTTTTTCTCACTACATTTCCCACAATGATTCAATTTACTAATTCAGGAAATGAAATGACCTGTTGCAAGTTACAAGGTTCTTTTTTTAAAATGGAACATTATTTCTGTTTCTAATCTATATTATCAAGTATATAAGGAATATGAGCTCATGGTGTTAATATAACTAACAAGAGCTCCAAGCTGTCTGTGAAAGTATATTTCTTTTTCTTTTTGTTCCAGGAACTCTTAGGAGTCATCACAAGTTAAATAATTTCTGGAGTCTGAGCTCTGCCACTTTGTATCACATCTCTTTGAGTTTCAGTTTTGTTGGATCTAGTTCTTTCTTCCAAGTAAATTTTAGTACCTCTTTCTGGAAAATGAGGAATGCCAAATCTAAGGAGAGCTCTGGGGCCACCCAGGGGCCCAGTACATATATATGAAGTGGTACTTGAACGTGGCTCTCTAATGTGTGAGTTTCTGTCTGCTTGACATCATCTTCTGAGGGATAGTCTGGAGACTCAGTGGCTATTTTGGGAGTCTCGTGGTTTATCCAGTTACATTCTCTGTGCAGAAAGAACAGGCTCCCAAATTAAATAATTTAAATGGAACAACACTCTTTTTGACTGGTATTTAGAAGTTTGCAATAGACATCAGGTAGCAAAATTACTTCTCAACAAGCAACTGTTTCTAAGTTAACAAAACAAAATATGGAGTGGTGAGTCAGACTTCTGATCCACTGATTCTACTGCTCCAATGTCAGCTACCCCTGTATTTAAAGTAAGACCCTAGGTCTCAACAGGTAGAATGCATTAACTTCAGAAGGGAAGAAACCAGGTTTTCTATCTAGGGTTGTGATGAAGGAATCCCTGAGTCTTGGGTCTTGATGGTTGTTGTTAGGTGCCATCGAGTATGACTCATACTGACCCATGAACAAAAGATCATGTTCCTGTCCTACTTTGTGCCATCCTCACTATCTCTGACACACTCAAGCCCACTGCTGTAGCCACTGTGTCAAGCCATCTAGGTGAGGGTCTTCTCTTCTGCTATCGTCTCACCTTTGCAAGTATGATACTCTTCTCCAAGGAATAGCTTTTCCTAGTAACACACCCATCCTTTCCTTAATGCAACTGGATGTATCTTCTCCAAGACACAGCTGTTTGTTCTTTTGGCAGTTCATGGGATATTTTGTACTCTTCTCCAACATCACAACTCAAAAGCATCAATTTTCCTTCTGTCTTTACTAAGTGTCCAGCTCTCAGAAGCAAAGCAAATGATTTAAAAATATTACAGTTTGAATCAAGCATACCTTAGTCCTCAAACTAACATCACTGCTCACCAGTAATTTGGAAAGGTACTTAACAGCAGACTTTTCCAGTGCAACATGTCTCTTGATCTCCTGATTGCTGGTATCAAGTGTATAGATTGTGGATCCAAGTAAGATGAAGTCGTCAACGGTTTTAATCTTTTCTCTATCTATTATGATGTCACTCATCAGTCCAGTGGTGAGAATTTTTGTTTTCTTGATGTTGAGATGCAATCCATATTGAAGACTATTGTGTTTTGTCTTCTGTAGCAAGTCCTTCTCACTTTTAGCAAGCAAGGTTGTATCATCTGCAAAGATTATTGATGAATCTTCCTCTGGTCCTGATGCCACAGTTTTCTTCAGAGTCCAGCTTCTCAAATAATTTGCTCAGAATAGAGATCGAAAGGGTATGGTGAAAAGATACAACCCTAACACACATTTTTCTCCATTTTAAACCACACAGTGTTCCCTTGTTCTGTTGTTTTGCACAATAGCTTCTTGGTCTAGATATAGCTTTCACATGAACACAATTAAGGGTTCTGGAATTCCCATTCTTTTCAGCGCTAGCCTCATGTGTTATGATCTACACAGACAAATGCCTTTGCACAGCCAATAATCAAACATTCTTTGGGTATTCTTTGCTTTCAGCTAAGATCCATCTGACATCAACAATGGTTCCACGGCCTCTTCTAAATCCTGCTTGAACTTCTGGAAGTTCCCTACCTATGTACTATTCTAGTTCAATGATCTTCAGTAATATTTTGCTTGTATGTGACATTAGTGATTTTTTTATAGTTTCCACATTCTGCTGGACCACCTTACTGGGGAAAGGGAACAATATGGATCTCTTCCAGTTGGTCAGCCAGGCAGCTGTCATCAGAGTTGCAAAACTCTGTGGGCATGAACAACTTAAAAGCCTCTAGGGCACACACCACTAACAGAAAGACACTCATGAGAGGACGTGAGATGGGCCGGAGCACTTAGCTGCCCTTTAGCCACAAGATAATTCTCACGCACTGCAGCCAGCCTGAGAACAAAACACCAACTGAGCCCACAGCACACTCCCTGCCCGAAATTTTATTTGACTCTGGGAGATCAGAGTTTCAGTCTATACTTACTATCATTAGTTAATAAACCTGGGTATCCCCCCTACTGGTTTTCTGGTTTAGGCTTTCTATTAAAAACTCAGAATATATTTGGAGTAAATGCTGATTTTAGTGGCCATTTTGAGAAAATGAGTTCCCGTTTGTATTGTCTTTTCTTTCCTCTGGAGAAAATGGTGATTTGAAATTCAGGTTTTGTCAGAGGACCCAATCTCCCTCAATCTGAGACTCAGGTAAAGTCATAAATTTTTAGTTAGGCACTATTTTCCTGTTAAATTGAATCTATCTCTTTTAAGAATTGCTGTACACCATGTATAATTTTAGAAACTAGGTTGCCTACGTTTGTCTCGTTTGGCAATTTTTTAAGATTGGGTTTTGAGTGGGCTTCATAGATTGGGGAATTTATGTGGCTTTTCTGTTTAATTTTGTTTTGAGATTTTGCCTCCAATCAGAGAACTATGTAAGCCAAACAGGTTAAGGGCCATGGCTGGTATTTTTCACGGTACTGTCTAAAATCTCAGGCTTTTTTTCTCTTCCAATAAAAACTGCTTCTTGTGACTTTTTTATGACTTGCATTTTTAGTACCTACTCAGAGAAACTCTGATATAAATCAGTCCGTCTGAAACATTCACTGAAAAATAACAGATTGCTTATTCTGATTTCTGTAACAAGGTCTTAAAAAGAGACAAATTATTTTATTTTTTAAGTTCTTATTTCATACT